CCCCAAAACCCCAAAACCCCAAAACCCCAAAACCCCAAAACCCCACTAAACACAGACCATATTGATTGTATGAGGTTTATAAATATACTTATAGATCCTCATTTTCTCTCATCTCTTCTTCTTTTTTTTCAAGTTCTTCCTGCTCTTTTCTCTGTCGTTCCTCTTCCTCTTCTTGCTCATATTGCTCGGTCATTTTGAGGATGTCATCGAGGGACTCATGACCTTTGCCTGTGTATTGAATCGCATTAGTCTCATTCCCAATCATTTTGCCTTTGCCCCACTCATAGATTTCATCGAATAACTCTCCTGTCTGTGTCAGTGGGATAGGCAGACCAGATTCGTTGTATCAATAAGCACCCAAGCACAGAAGCAGGAACATCCTAAAGAAGAAAACTGTCCACCCATCGTGCCTTCTATTCACGTATAACAGTGGTAAGAATGAATCGAGAATGGCAATATCGTCATCTAGCATATTTGGAAAGATCCAGAAGTCAATTCCGAATAGGAACAATAAAAGGAATATTAGCAACCTGACGAATATTAATCCTAGCATGATGGCACTGAAATAGAACAAGAAGCTGAATATCCAGAGCTTAACAGTATATGGCCACAGGGGGAACAGTATAATCGCTATAACTGCTACTGCTAAGCCTATTGCAAGGTAGGCTGTTTTGTTTTGGGGTTTGAAAATATCAAAAGCATAGAAGCCTTTCTCCTTCATGGGAAACTGGGCTTGGACTAATTTCTTCGGATATTTATACTTTTGTGGCTCTTCTTTCACCCTATCAAAGCTCTTAAGCAAGCCGTTGTTGATAAAAATATCCCCAAGCTCCATGGAATCCTCTATGGAGTCTAATTTTTCAAGCTTGATGTGTTTAGACAGAATGTCTAATATGTGTTTAGAGTGCTCAAGGACGAGTTCGTGGAACATATCTGCTCGAAAGTAGTAAACTCTCTGCCTATTGGCAACTGCTTCCTTCTCCTTGAGCCCCTTCTTCTGGAGAAGAGTTGCTACTTTGATGAGGTCTTTCTGGTCATCGTTGTATTCTGGAGCACTCTCTTTTTTGTTCTGTGCCATTAACACTTGTTAAGTTATATATTTATTTGGAATTCTTAACAAATTGGGGTTTTGGGGTTTTGGGGTTTTGGGGTTTTGGGGTTTTGGGGTTT